CCGCCTGCCTGTCCTGATGCAGATATTGCTTGGCCCTGAATGTTCCACAGTATTGCATTAAACCTATTTCCATTTATTGAAATACATGTGTCTTTTTATTGCCTCAAAAAACATGGGGTCATAGTGTGAGTAGTGTTGTGCTCCACAAATCTGAACTGGAACTTGGCTTGGTGCCGTCATCTGCTTGTCTCTATGGAGAATGATAAGCTTAATGCCTTGAAGTGTAGGGATGGGACAATAAACAATAATACTGTTTAGCGTTGGTTTGTCCTAAGGCTGAAACGCGTCGGGACTTTGTAAGTTGTCCATTAAGACATGCCGTAAATTAATAAAGGCATTTTATTTTACCCAGTGAGTGCATCTTTAAATTGTCTTCCCTTTCCAAAGAGCACCACTGAGTTCTATCTACTGTGTATTATCCTCTGGAGGTCCAGGAAGCGCTCCTTTTGAAACTTTTTCTTAATACTGTTTAGCGTAATAAAAAGTGTAGACAATTATATAAAAGTGGTTTAACATAGAACCTATTCATAACATTAAAATCAATTAATTAATTAATAATAGCATTTTTAAAGCACCTTTCAAGACACCTAAAGCGCTTTACAGTTCATTGTATCCGTAACATTTTGAAACTGTCAGCAACTTTAATCGTCATCATGATATTATTGTTACTTACTATTATGTTGACCATGATAATAGTGACACTAAATTTCAGTATCGTCCCATGTCTAACACTGTGGAAGATTCCAAGCGAAGCAATCCCTATGGAGACAAATTGTGATGTGATGAGCAATTTTAAATAGTCATTTTCGAATAATTAGCTTCTGAATGATCAATTTCTTCTGTGATTTTACCTTTTTTTTGTATTGCAGCTTCAGAAAAATCCTACTATTTATAACTGATATGGAGTCAGAAGCCTCTAGTGGCTGCTGTAGTGCAATGAACATGTATCCAGTGAAGTCTGCAGTTGATTTTCTCAGACCGTCCATGTGTTAAATAACTCTCTGTGAAGACATTTCCGTTTAGTGCATCCCATTAAAAGAGACAAATCCACAGCGTAATGTCCCTTATGTCGCGTTGGCTCCGGCCCCATCCACAGTCACAGGCTGCAATGGGCCTTGAAGACTGGACAGATGTCTCATATTTAACCAAAGTCTGTCTAAAGGGACTCAGCGGACCCACAGTTTAAGTCTCTGTGGGGATGTTTAACGGGCTGTAATTAAAGAGAGCAGAATCAGAGAATGAATGTATTACAAATCTTTTCTATTTTGCTGAAACGTGCGATTTGTTTTACTTTACAAGAGTGACAATACATACAATAAACATCCTATCTTCCTAAGGGATGCGTCAGGTTGTGGAGAAGCTGCCCGCTCACTAAATTTGTTCTTCAAGGTTTTTTCAGGGATAAAAAAAGTGTAAGGTCCCCCACCTGCCTGTCTCCATGTAGATGTTACTGCTTTGCCAAGAATGTTCCACAGTAAGTAGGAGTGTAACGATATCCAAGTCTCACGATATGATATCGTCACGGTATGAACCTCACGGTACAATATTTATTGCGATATCGGCGGAAAGCTAATGATATGATGGGGAGGCTCACGATTAGGAATGTAACAATATCCAAATTTCTTTGTACGATGTTTTCACAATATACATCTCACTTGATTTTTATTGCGATATTTTGTGGAGGCTAACAAAATTGTTAATATGTTACTTTGTCCTCTTAATGCCTTGACAAGACTTAATCCAAAGAACTAAGACTTAAAAGTGCTTAGAACAGTTATTTCTTCATGTTGTCTGCACTGAAATGGAGCAAAGGATCATGGTCTATGTAGTTCCCTCTCTCTTTTTTTAGCTATTGCTACACCAAAACTCTTAATTTAAGCAAAGAAACATGTGATTCAATATATTGTGATGGTCCACGATATTATTGTGAGAACTTTGACGATACGATACCACGATATTTCGGTTACTGTTACACCCCTAACAGTAAGGCACTCAATTTACCGTATATCTGTAAAGAAAAGCAGGTTGACGCCAACATGCCAGGGTACAAGTCAAAAATATACATGAAGCTCTGTTTTGTTTCATTTGAGTAACCATTTATTATAATAAGTCTGTTTATATCCCCAAACCTCAAAATGCTCTGTTCCACATTGTGATGTCATGTTGTGGTAGTTTTCAAGTTAACAATTTTGCATTTACCCTTACTTCAGAAGAAATAGGCAATTCCAAGATTGAAATTATCCAAATGATTCAAGTGACGGTGTGAGGAGTTTAAAAACACAGTGGAGCACTTCCTGTATTACCACGTGACATCACAAGGTGGGACAAACTGTTTTCCATTTGAGAGAAGAACTTAGCCTAAATATGCAGGGTTGCATGTGTGAATTAAACTCAACTCCAGGTACATTTGTGATGAGGAAACAACATTATAATAGATCAGAAAATAGCGTAATATGGGCCCTTTAATACAGGAGCTTGGTCAAAAGCTGGAAGATCAGTTTTACACAATTGTCCTCATATTTAGCAGAATATAAAAATAAACCTATGACAAGTATTTTCTGTAAGTCACAGAGTTTTATGTCAGCTCAAACCCCCAGAGAGCGAGAGAAATCCAATGGTAAATACATTCTGTGTGTAAAAGTGATATGACGACAGTGACTACAGCATCACATTACATCAACAAATCTGATTGAGTCCTTTTTACCTTTTTACCTCCTGCCATTTGAGTGATGGAAAATGTGAGGTCTCTTCAACAGGTGGAGAATGTTGAGGTCCTGAAAACAATGATGGCAGACAGACACAACTCACAATCACAGTTACTTCAGCATGTTATAATACTTGAATTAAAGGTACAACTTTTGTAGTAGAGGGTCTACTCACTATTTCTTTCCATAAAGATGCTTTGCCTAGAATTTGCCACAATATGGTATTAGAATGGTATTAGATTTTTACAGCCATTTCCGTAAGCATGTGATAGTTAAGCTAAGTTATGGACCAGATCTATGAACAGGTGACCCCATTCACAGTAAGAATGCATGTTTTTAAGTCAATAAAAACATATGTAATTCATTAAAGGCAAGATGGATAGTTTAAAGCCAAACTGTGGAACGTTCAAGACAAAGCAATAACATCTCCATGGAGAAAAGCATGTGATAGACCCTCCACCATAAAAGTTACATAGTGCACCTTTAACCTAAAAATATTGGGTCTTACTAATGCATTTCTATTTGGGCTGTATACACTATCTTCAAACTAAACATACACACCTGGACTTGACAATAATCTCTTTCTCGCTTAATAAACAACGTCCTACAGCTATTCTGATGCTTATTGCTTTGCCTATGTTCCAGTCTATGGCATGAAACTTGTCCAGCTCCATGGATAGAAGGAGGTAATGCTACTAAGCCAAGTTAAGCCACATTTCGCAGCTCATCCAAGCTGCTTCTTCAGTTCTGGTCAGAATGCTGGTGGAGCTGCGACACGTATTCAACGAAACAAAATTTTTGGCCATTCAACAAACTGATTTCTCTCCTTTGCCATGGATTCTACCTGGACGACTGAGGGATTTTTCACACAAGTGGAAGAAAACTTACATAAACCACCTTTTAAGTAAAATACCTAGTTACTTGTGCAGTTCTTGAGCAGCTACTATGATGAATTGACAACTACATCAAGTGCAGAAGAAATCAATAATAAATGTCTCACATGCAAATGGAAAAACCTACAAAATATTACATTGCACAGTTACGTGATATAAATTAAACAAGTTTGTGTGTTTTAGATGTAAGTGCTCATTTATTTTACCTATTTCTCTCTGGTCTTTCGCATAAAGCCAGAAAAATGTGATTTTAAGGGCTAATAGTAAATCTTGGTGCCTAAAGTGCCTCCTCCGAGGGGTGACACTAATGCAGCTGCATCATTTATGAAGAACACAATCAGAGCAGGGCCTTGGTGTGAATAAAGGCGGAGGGAAGGAGCTGGAGCCGTGAACAAAACACACGCGCCCATAAAAATAAAATCAATAAAATGTACAGAGCTTTTTCTGCAGGATTATTAATCAGTGAGGCGTGAGGCTGGAATGGCCCTGCCTCCTCACTGGAATAATAAACATTAAATTTAATCTCACCTGGATTCACTACGTTTCACCTTTTACACCACAGTATAACAGCGTCCTCTTGTGCCTGTATGAGAACATTACAATTAAACCTTGACACGACATTCATGAAGTTTGCGTTCACTGCTGCTGTAAAATGTGAAATATTCAGCAAATTATCCAGTCAGTCACACTCAAAATGGCATAATCGGCCACGTTATTTAAATACAACTCCAATGTATTCGTGAAAATGTGTGAAAAATTATCTGCCAGATCTATTGTGCATAGGTTGATCAGACTTTCAAAAAAGAAAAAAAAAAAAAAAACAAAAAAACTTGGACATGCTTGGTTTCGGTTGGTAATAATAAAATTGTGAAACCAGTGCGTAAGTAAGGAAAACTGTTCTGCAATCGGCACTAATGTGAGTCAGTACAGTCACATTTTCTTCGTGTTTTAGTCATTGTTAAGCAGGTTTTCTGAATTTTACCTATATAAATGACAACGTATGCCTTTCTTTAATGTTGGCAGGGATCAAATTGGTCCAAAATAGGTACATTTCTTGTATAAAACTGGGACAAATCATTGGTTTTGGATAAATCTGGTAAGATAGGGGACACAGGGCTCAAAACTGGGACTGTCCCGGGTAAACAGGGACGACTAGCCACCCTAAAATTGTGCACCTACGGATCGTCTTTAAAATAAATCCTGCTTTAAATGTGTTTAACTTACCATTGTGTTAGTCTGTTTTTCCTTTTGAAACTACTGGCTCGCACGCCTCACTTTCAAGAACAGAAAAAAGTCAAAATGAACCACAAAAAGTACATTTCTTCAAGCAGCAGGTGGCGGCATTACACATGGACACGCTTGATCTGCCAAAAGAGGAAAAAGTGTCCGATTTGAGGATGGCATTTCTCTGATCTGGCAACCTCCGCCCTGCGCTGCGGGAGTAGACCGGACCCGTCTCCCTTGGGTGTCCCCCGTAAAGTTTACCTAATATTGCCCACAAAAGTAGAAATTAATCTGTTTTATTTTTGTTACTAAATCTACGGAACTTGCCGGCCATGTTGGGGGTAGCAGGCATGCCGGGCAGGTGAGTATTTGGACTAAAAAGCGCACGAAAGCTCTGCCATCTAGTCAGCTAGTTAGCTTTGATGCTAACAAGCTAATCATACCACATCACATACTTCACATTTTAATCATTTCTAATCTGTTTCGCGTTTTTTCCAGTCTGTCAGTCAACGATTTTCCATAGTATTGCGTTATCTGGATGTTTATTTGATAGTTTAGTTTTAATGATAGTTTTTGATGGTGGTGAATGATTTGTTTGAGGTTCAGGAGTGATTTTTGAGAGGAAATAGTTCATGACAAAATACCTCCTCTGTAGAGTAAAAGTAATTATTATTATTATGTTCCTGGCTTTCTTTGTACTTTGTTTTGTTCAGTTAATTAATTTATTCCTCTTTTGTGTAGAAGTTGAAGAAAATATGTAGAAGTACAAAATAGTAGAAGCTTTTTAAAAAATGTATGGCACTTAACATAGGTTTGTAATGTTTTTATTTTTGTCTTTTTGTTTTTGAAATTGCACAACTCCCATTAACATTTGTTATATTGTACAGTAAAAGTAGTCATTATTATGTTCTTGGCTTTCTATATACCTTGTTTTGTTGTCTTGATCAGTTAATTTATTCCCTTTTGTGTAGAAGTTATGTTATGTTATGTTTTCGATAATATTGTATGGCATTTCAAATAGGTGTGTAATTTAGCTTTTTTTTTTTTTTTGATAGCTCACGAGAAAATAGTTTATGGCAAAGTAACTTCTCTGTACAGTATTGTGACCGTTTACTGTATTCCTCTTTTGTGTAGAAGTTGCTATGTTTTTGAAAATATTGTAAAACACTGGCATTTAAAATAGATGTGTAATTTTTTTTTTGTTTTTTGGTTGTTTTTGAAATTTGATAACTCACGAGAAAATAGTTTATATCTGCAGAAGTTGAATAATGTTTTTTTAAATTCAGTATGGTGACCAAAATAGTAATAGTAATATTTTTTGTTTTGGAAATTTGATAACTTTCATTTACATTTGTTATGCAGTACAAGTTCATGTCTCCTTCCTAAATTTGGGGGTGGCTCTCTTGTGAATAATTGAGTTCCCCTGTGTGATTCACTTATTCCCTCCTCCACTGTGCAGCTGCTGCTCTAACAGGAACTGATAATACTACAGTGACTAACACTAGATGTGTTTTGATTTTAACTGTGCCCTTAGGCCCCATTTTCACTGTAGTCAAGTCAAAGCAGGCAGAAAGGTTACTTCAAATAGTTTAGTTTATTAGTTTATGTATCAGGGACAATGCAATAATACACAAAGACCTATATTAAGAGATAATATAATAGGTAATACAACTGAAGTAAAATGTTGTTATTCAAATAATCAGAGTATTTGATTTGCTATGCCACATAATGATTTATCTAATGCTTCCCCTAGCGTCCCCGTATTTATTTCTTGATTGCCTTGTTTATGGCAAAGTAGGTAAAGTCAAGTGGAAAAATGATTGAAATGCAGGAGTTATACTAAAGGGCTGATACTTCAAAAGTGAAATGTCATCAAAATAATTGCAAAATGCATAGGATTTGGACATACTGATGTAAATCTAAAATTTTTTATTGAAAATCATGTTATTACCAAACAAAGACATTTTTTGCAGATTTTTTTGCTCTCTGTCAACATTGTAAAATATATTTTACATGGCCAAACGTAGAAAAACAATATATTGCAAAGTATAATTGTATATATTAACTTCTCATTTGTAGCAAATTTTGACCGTCTCAAGCTAATAAGACGCTTTTGTTTCTGAAATGATGTGTGTTTTGATCCTTGGCAGTATTTCCAATGCCCTTGCCTCTGCAAACTGTGAGCGGTGTAAGAGCGGTTTTGCAGCGACGGAGAAGATCGTCAACAGTAATGGAGAGCTGTACCACGAGCAGTGCTTCGTCTGCGCCCAGTGTTTCCAGCAGTTTCCCGAGGGACTCTTTTATGAGGTAAATCTGCAGTCTTAATCCATATAGTGAGTTGCTGACATATGAAGCAAGGCAGATTTCATGGTAAAGTTGTGGTGTGGATACAAGAATTATAGTTTTCCCCCTTTCTAAACCTGAATGAGTAACAATCAGAAAACAACCCGTAAAATGCACTACAATAGTAAAATATTAAGTGTTTCCAATAGATTTTATTAAGACTATGGCGGCACAACTGATTTTTATTTGAATTATTTAATCTCATTACATGTGTGGAGTATAAATGTCACTTTCTGCCTATATTTAATGAGTCACTGTGGACCAGTGTTATCAGTTTATGAAATACAATAAGCAGCAAAGTCTAATTTTGTTATGCCATTGTTTAGTCCAGGTTGTTTTTAGACTATGGGGGATTATGGGGGGCCACCCTAGTCTCCTGTATAAATGGGAAACACTGAATTTTAGTCTATCTATCTAACCATTTCTGTCTCTTTACAGTTTGAAGGAAGGAAATACTGTGAGCATGATTTCCAGATGCTCTTCGCTCCATGCTGCCACCAGTGTGGTAAGTGTCAACAGACTGTCTGCCTAATTGTTTTAACTGTTTAGTCAAGGTTTTCACACACTGATCCCAAATCTGGCATGGGACTCTACTAATTGCATATTGTAAGATCAAAATGTAACGTATAATACTAATTATCTGGATTCAGAAACTGTGGTGTTTATTGGTGTGGTGCCACACCAATAAAGGCTTAGTAATGACAAAAATGTAGAACAAAGATTTTCTTGTTCTTGGGTTAAATAGCTGCATCCCACAGAGAACATGGAAATATGATGAATGGATTTCATTGTTGCCTCTTTGTGTTCTGTGGGTTTAGGTTCTGTTAGAGACAATATTATTGACAATAAAAAGAATATTACATCTTGTGTTATAATCCCAATGATGATAGTCAGACATTAGTTCATCAAAAATCTGTTAAAACATGCCTGTAAATGCACTGGCTTGTACTCAGTTATTGCACAAAAGTAAATTGACTGTGAGATTAAACATAAAATGCAGTCATCTACCCTTGTTTAGAAGATGACATTGCGAATTTCTGTTTGTTTTCTTTTATTGTTTATCACCCTTTTTGCTACATATTCAAATATTTTTATTATAGCCCCTTTGCGCATTTATTGCTGCGTCTATTTGTTACGACCCAAAGGACAGAACATATTAAAAAGAACACAGTAGCCAAGGGTTCACTTTTAATTTATTTTATTTTAGCTGGTTTCTTCTTGGTTTTTCTTGATTTTTATTCTTTTTAAGGAGTTATTTTCAGGCACAGGAGGGTTTTTAAATAACGACATGTAATCAACAAAAAGGTGGACCTGATGACTCGACCAAACAGAACAAAAAGGTGCGATACCGGGCCAACCCCGCACAGGGCCTTAGGAGTCGGTGCCAACACCACTAACTTAAGACAAAATAAAAACACAAACCTGAATCCAAAGAAGAGGCAGAGGGCTAAAGGCTAAGAAAAAAAAAAAAAAAGTACAGAGATGACCACGACCTCCACCATGTTGGCTGGGGCGTACAAGGTGAGTGAGGCTGGGTGGAGCAGGGCGCATGTCAAAAAGCCACGCAAATAAACTACAAAAATATTCAGGAACAATATTGATCAAGAAACTTACAAAAACTTGAGTACCAAAAGGTTAACAAAACAGATGAAGGTGTAAGTAAACAAAAGTACACCAGCAGCACATAACACTTTTCTATTAGTGGGTTTTCTAATTAAAAATCCTCAAAACAACTGCAAAACCTCTCCTAACTCTATGTAAAATAAGTTAAAAAAAAAGTATTCCAAGTATATACACTGTATATCTGCAATAGTGCCAAGTCCCACTCCTGTATTCATATAAATGGACTCTTCCGTCTCCTGACATTGACGGCTCCCTCTCTTCGTGCTCAGGGGAGTTCATCATTGGGCGCGTCATAAAGGCCATGAACAACAGCTGGCATCCCGACTGCTTCTGCTGCGACATTTGCCAGGCTGTCCTCGCCGACGTGGGCTTTGTCAAGAACGCCGGCAGGTCTGTAGCCCGTCCCATTACTGTCTTAATACTCCTACTTAGGCCTGTCAACCTGGCAACTCACTCAGCAATACCACACACCATACTGGTTTCTGAGCAGCTTGGACAGGATATTTCATAGTTGTAACTAGAATTTTGACGCTTTGACGTTTTATTGAGTTTTCTTTTTTTTTTTTTTCTTCCCTAGGCATCTGTGTCGCCCGTGCCATAACCGCGAAAAGGCTCGAGGTTTGGGCAAATACATCTGTCAGAAGTGTCACGCCATCATTGAGGAGCAGCCGCTGATTTTCAAGAACGACCCCTATCACCCTGACCATTTCAACTGCAGCAACTGTGGGTCAGTAGAATCCACTGTTCTGTCTACTACATTTCTGTAATCTTCAACTCTGCCACCACTCTTACTACCAGAGCAGTTTTTTAGTAATGTTATAAAGGGTTTGTGTTCAATATTAGAATTAGATTTATAGGGCCCATATTACACTGTTCTCTTATTTGTGTTATTATGTTGTTTCCTCATCAAAAACATACTTGAAGTTGGGTTTAGTTTCACAGATTTAACACACAAATCCTGCAGATTTAGAGTTCTTCTCTCAAACAGAAAGCACTCCACCTTGTGCTCCACTGTTTTTATTTTTAAACTCCATTCACCTTCATTAGAACAATTTGGATGATTTCAGCCCTGGAATTGCCGATCTCTACTGAACTAAAAGTAAAAGGTAGCTGTTAACTTGAAAACTACCACTTCATGACATCACAAGGTGGAACAGAGGTTTTGGGAATCTAGACAGACTAATAATAAAGGGTTATTCAAACATGTGTGATTGAAACAAAACACAACTCCAGGTAAGGTAAGGTAAGAACTAACATACCTTAAATATCACAAGAATCAATTTTGCATGATATAATATCTTTAAGCTGTAATGCAATTCTCGTTACTAAAAGAGGTCTTGAGACTAAAAGACCAATGTTCCAGAGCATAACTTTAAACTTACTGATCTAGAGAAAAGCAGCTCATTGTAAGAATACTTGTTTTCCAGTAATTCAATGATAAACTGGATATCATACCGTGGAACACTGAAGGCAGTACTATATTATCTCCAAGCAGGCAAGCAGGCAGTGAACTCTCCACCAGTGAAATTACAGAGCACTTTTTAGGTGTGTTACCAAGTTTAAAGGTCCTATATTAAACGAAATTGACTCTTGTGAGCTTTAAGCTGTGTTATAATTCTGTTACCTCATCAAGAACATGCCTGGAGTTTGTTTCATTCACATGTTTGAGTGACCCTTTAGTCTGTCTCTGTTAAATGCCTTTTACCTTTTGTTCAGTAAAGATTGGCAATTCTACGTCTGAAGTCACCAAAATGATTCTAGTGAAGGTTTATGGAGTTTAAAAACAGACCTCAGAACTCTAAATATGCAGGATTTGTAGGTTAAACATGTGAATGAAACAAAACACAACTCCAGGTCTGTTTTGATGAGCAAACATTATTACACAGATCACAAAATAGATTAACATGGGCCCTTAAAAAGTCCCATGCTGCAAGTAAAAAAAAAAAAACCTCTTGAATACATTACATTATATAAGAAACCTCTTCTCTTTGAGTGGGAATATCATTGTCTCTGCCCACAGTAAAGAGCTGACAGCAGATGCGCGCGAGCTGAAGGGAGAGCTCTACTGTCTGCCCTGTCACGACAAAATGGGCGTCCCGATCTGTGGAGCGTGCAGACGGCCCATCGAGGGGCGTGTCGTCAATGCCATGGGCAAGCAGTGGCACGTCGAGGTGAGGAAACACTGCAGCTTTAACTGGAACAATGTCAGAGTTCAATATTAGCGGAATGTGGAAAAATTACAGTGTCAAAACCGTAATGGCTTTAGTGACTGATAAGGCTTTGGGCTTTAGTATAAGTTGCAATAGAATACTTGCCTCACCAGCCAGTCTCTTCTATCTCTGTTCGAATCCAGAAGGGACTGGAACTGGACAATAGAGCATGAGAAACCTCCGTCAAAGCATGTGGGTTTGGCTGGGCCCATAAATACAATACAATACAATACACTACCAGTCAAAAGTTTGGACACACCCTGTCAATGTTTTTTTTTCTTTATTGTTCAAATTTTTGACTGGTTGTGTATGTGTTATTTAGGTGTTGGTTCATGAAATTTTCTATGCAAATAACCTTTAGAGGGCGCTAAAAACACATCTACTTCTACATCAAAATGAAGCCCTTTGATGCATGATTCAAAATGACTATGCACTAGTGGCAAAAAACTGAAGACTAATTGAAGCATTAGAAAAAGTCAGGTGTATGGACTAAAATATGCTAGAGCTTCTTGTGGTAAAATCCACTGCTAAGACAAACCTGAACAAGCCTAGCACAAAATCTGGAGATGGGTGCTGATCCTGACAAGGTATGATAGGTCAAATGCAGAGGACAACTATTCCCACAGGGACAATAAAGTGTACATAAATCAAAGTTGTAACACATAATTTCTTTATCTTCATTTTAGCATTTTGTGTGTGCTAAATGTGAGAAGCCCTTCCTCGGTCATCGTCATTATGAACGGAAAGGACTTGCTTACTGCGAGACCCACTACAACCAGGTGAGATTTTTATTTCTTAAAATAAACTTTTAAATTGTACTTTTTTTTGAAAAACAACTTAGTCTTCATACATTATGAGCCAATTTTATCCTCTTTTATGTTGCACTCACTATTTTTTTTCTTTCAGCTTTTTGGAGATGTTTGCTATCACTGCAACCGTGTGATTGAGGGCGACGGTAAGAACAATACAATATCATTTATTCCAGGAGTGTCCAAGCTTTTTTCATCTAGGGCCGCTTATTTAAATGCAGACGAAGCAAGAAGACTTACAGTGACTAGTTGAAATCTGTGCATTTCAAACAGGTTGGAATGAGCCATCAGTGCTTTTTTCAAGCTTAGATCCTCAAAAGAACATTCTAAATATTTGATATTGGATTTAGCACAGTAAATAGTAGCCTAGAAGGTAACAGCCTCCTTGGCTCTAGGTTTGTAGCTTGTGGTCCGCAGCCATATCCCACTGCAGGCTTTGCGATCGAAGATTTAAAATCAAGAGTTAAAATAAGATTTCTGATGGTGTGCGGTTTTGGCCACACATCTGAAAATGGCTTAAGACTCAAAAATCCTGTGGTGTGTGGTGGCCTTAAGCTAATAATATATATATTTTTTATTGTTATTTTCAGTGGTTTCTGCCCTGAACAAAGCCTGGTGCGTCAGCTGTTTCTCCTGCTCCACTTGCAACACCAAACTCACTCTCAAGTAAGTTACGTGTGATTTTATGCATTTTGTGCTTTACTTCTAATCACTGTTTAACCGCTGCTGTTTCAGAGGTGAGTAGGGCTAACATTTAATTATTACTTCTATGTAATATTACTCATGTAGAAGTGAAAAGAAATCATTAAAAGTTAACTGAAAAATAATTACAAAACAAAATTAGTTTTAATGTCAAATTTAATTTACTTTTGGTTTGAGGTAATCAAATGGAGCTAATATGCAGAACTGTTAAAAACAATAATTGAAATTAATTTATTTACATAAAGCACAAAAGATTAAATAGGCACACAATTTAACGCTATTTTGAAACATTGTAGTATTCATATATGTTTATATCTATCCTGTAATTTGGCCTGGTGGCATCCCCTGCAAGTCTTCATGGTTACACATGAATTTAATGCAATACTGTTGAAAATTTTAAAAGCAGCAATATTTCAATGGTGATCCTTCCACCAGAAATGTTACATTGTTTGAGTAAAAGTAAAAAGTATTCATAAAAGCTGATGCAGGTATAGTGTTATTTAAGAAGTACATTTACTACCCACCTCTACTGTTTTTCTGTTGTCTCTAACACTTGTCCAGTCCTAACACTTCACCTGTGTCTTGTACTCTCTCTCCTCCCCTCCCTTTTCTTTTCCCCTCCCTTTCCTCTTTTCTTCCTCTTCTGTCTTTCTCCATTCTTTCTCTTTGCCTCTCTACGGCCTTTCTGTTTGATTCTCTCCTTTTTATCTACTCCTGTCTCTCCTCTCTTCTCCCTCTGTGTCTGTATCTCTCTCCTCTCCCACTCTCTCCTCCTTTCTCTCTTTGCCTCTATCCCTTTCCTTTCTCCTTCTCCCTCTCTCCCCTTCTCTCTCTCCCTCATTCTATTTGCTTCTCTATCCCTCTATCCTCTTCTCTCTCTCCGCCTCCTTTGCTGCGTCTGCTGTTTGTCAGAGATAAGTTTGTAGAGGTTGACCTGAGGCCGGTCTGTAAGCACTGTTATGAGCGTCTGCCTGAGGAGCTTAAGCGCCGTTTGGCCCGTCGTGAGCGCGAGGCCAAAGAACGCAAGAAAAAAAACTCCATCTTTTAGACAGTCCAGTCCACTTCAACACTTCAACACTTCAACACTTAGGCATGTTTCAGATGTAATCCAGTGTAATCCAATGAATGTACACAGTGAGGTCAATTCATTACAGTATCAGTTATTTATTTTGAATTATTTATGTACAAATGTTGGTTCAGTTCAAAGTGAAATGCACATACAGATTTTTTTTTTTCCTTTTAATGAAAATTCAGGTTCAATTTTAAAATTTTACACGTGAATTAAACCAAACAAATGTAAAATTATATATTCAAAATGTAGTTAATTTGTGAAATATAACTTTTCAATAACAACTGACATGCAAACGCTATTATTTAAAGCATGTTTATTTTAGCACTATATTAAAATGTATTAATTTGTGCTGACAGTATTATTTAAAACATATTTTTTATATATAATGCTTACACCTCAGTCACTTTAATATCCTGAAAAGATTGTATTGTATCTTTATACTCACTACTAACATTCCTAACCTAATCCTATTTAATATCAAATCTATTTATTGTATACAAAGCTGTGTGCCCTGTATAATTGACCGCCAACTGTTTTTACCAAAATTAGTGGTCACGTGATATTTTTGCTTCTTTTCAGGAACAAATTTGTTGAGTTTGACATGAAGCCAGTTTGTAAAAAATGTTATGAGAAGTTTCCTCTGGAGCTGAAGAAGAGACTCAAGAAACTGGCTGAGTCTTTAGGACGCAAGTGAAAAATGCTCACAGTCCTGGCTGCCTTATATCTGTCCTTTACATTTGATTTTAATGCTACGTTGCCTTAAAACTGCAAAGATACACTATGTAAACCCAGTAGATAACCAAACATTTCATTTTTGTATGAATTTGCTTTTTACATGCATTCCTAAATTTTACTCTCTCCTTCAAGATTTTTATTATCATTTAGTGTCTGTTCCCTTGTGCCTTGACTATTTCATGCAGATGCATCGCATTAAGTTACAGTATAGTTGTAATTCTTAAACATTAAAGATTTTTTTAAGCTATAGCCTTCTTACTAAGTAGAACATTATCAACTGTCAACTTAGCTTGGCTTGTAGTAAATGAAAATTTTTCCTCAAGTTAAAGTGGCACTACATAGATTTTCTTTTAAGGTTTCTACCACCTGAAGTGTTTTTGTCAATAATTCTCCACATTAAGGCATTAAACTAATCTATCTTGCATTTTCTTAATAACATTTTTATACACTTTATTGAATATTAAAAAAAAAAAAAAAGACACATTTTTACTGTGAGTGGCGTTGCCTCTTTACAAATCGAACTTGTGATGTGGCGGTGTCACTGGCTTGTCTCAATCAAAAAAGATAAGTTTAATGCCATACTATGAAACATTCTTGCCAAAGCACTCACGGGACAAGCAGGTGGTGTATCCTAATGAATTTTTTATGTATTGTGAACATGTAAACAGCAGCTCTGGTGTGGTCAGTGTACATCTTTCAAAATAGCTAAAAGAGAATTTTGAATTGGCTTGCATTCATTTCAAAGGGTTTTTATTTTCTTAAATTTTGTCTCATGAATTTAAAACAAACTTCTAAAATAAATTTACTACAATAATGCAGTTTACTGAGCTGCACCTTTAACTAAAATGGCCTTATTGTATTAAGCTGTCAATCATACAATACCTACTAATGAATGGCAAAGTTAGCATTTCCCTTTTTTATTATATGAAAACGTGTCTGGTCTGTGAAGATATTGTCCTGTATGTACTGTACTTTGTCTAAGCCTTTGTGTGTGTGTGTGAAAGTATATTGATATCATACGGTAGTTACATGAGGCTCATTTGCCTTTATTTTTAGTCTTTTATTCCACTTCCGTGGGGCAGAGTTCAAAGTTATTCAGATGAGCAGAATATTTCACATAGAAGTCTTTGAAGTTACGCTGTAATGAGTCAGCATGTAGCTTGGGGGCATGGTACAGAGATATTAAGTTATATATACAATCTGTCTATATGCATTTATATGATGGTACCTATAGATACATTTCTCTAATTTGTTGTCTATGATGGTGGATGCAAAGACATATGCAAAAAAGCAACGTTTAACAAGAATAATGTAATCAAAAGCTTTACTCAATAAAAGCAGCTATATTAACTTAAGCAGTTTGTTTTGTTTGATTAACCTTTAAGTTATTTTAGCTTTGATAAATGTGCATGAGAAATTTCAAAGATGCTCTTTTATATATATTTTAGACAAATTTAACACATTTTGGTAAGTGGATTTTTTAAAATTATACACATTTTGTAAGTAGCAAATCCTGTGGTCTGTAATTTCAAACACAATGCAAATGAAAACACTCTTTTCAGACAATAGATGAGCTTTAATTAGGGATGTAACAATAACCAAAATATTGTGATACTGTATCGTCAGAAGTCTCACAATAATATTGTGGGGCGTCACAATATATCGAATTAAGTTCCTTTGCTTAAATGCATAGTTTTACAGTAGCAACAGCTTATAAACATCGGAAACTACATATACCATGATTCATTTCAGTGCAGACAACATGATGAAATATGTTTTTTACTTGAATTCAATATTGATAATATTGAATAATAATATATAATATATATAATATTGATTATGACAGAAATAATTCACACCAAAATCTTGTCAAGGTATTTTAAAAACAAAAAAGTGTCCCATCTACAATCCAAAATATAGATCGTACCATGAGATGCTTATCGTGATAATATCGTACCAAGAGAGTTGGGTATTGTTACATCCCTAGTTTTAATATAACATAAAAGTAGGAGAAACTCACTCTCACTCAGTACAGTCCACTCTTTATTTCTAGAATCACTCCTTAATTTTATCCACATGTATCCAAGTGTAATGGGACTACTTTGTCATGACCTGAAGATATGAATGAATTTATGAAATGTAGTTCCTTAAATAGGACTATGGGTTCTGGAGGATTAAAAAGGTGCACTATGCAACTTCTAAGGTGGAGGGTCTGCTACTTGTTGCCATGGAGATGTTATTTCTTTGCCTAATATTCCACATTAGGGCATTAAACATATCTCCCTTGCATTTGTTCAATTACAGGTGTTTTATAGCTCAAAAATACCTTACAAATGAAATGAAATAATACTCTGTAAAGCGTCTTTGTGACAAATGTCTGTGAAAAGCTCTATATAAATAAAAAAAAAAACTTGCTTAAAAACATGAATGCTTGTACAGGGTTGCTTCTCCATAGATCTGAACATTAATCTGCCTCCATTTTATAACCAAGTTTATTTTGATACTGTGGAATAATTAAGGCAAAAGCGGTAATATCTCCTCTTCAAGAAAGTTACGCAGTGCACCTTTAAGCCTTTGCACTATGCACATGTATAGCTATTGTTTTTATCGCATTACTTTATGTTGAATGTAAAAATCACTTTATCAGCTTTCCTTTGTTTAATGCATTATTTATTTTACCCAAGATTTTACAAAAGACCAAAAGAGTTTAGATTCTGTATTATTTTGAAAAGTTTTTATAAGAGTTCTTGATCTTAGTTGTTCCTTTAGAGGAGTGCATTCATCGAGTACAACATGACCAAGACCACATAAACATTTGTTGAAAAGAAGAGAATAAAGGTCTTATATTGCCATATAGACCTATGTTTATAAACTTCTTACCTTCCATCTGTTTGAGTGCAAGGCTGATACGGTCCTGACGTGTTGAATACAGCCCCACTGTAGCCGGAGCTCTCACTTTACTCAGGGTCATGGACAGGGCGTACGCATAAACTTCATCTTGAACAACATATTAGTCCTATATATCGCTGTATAAAAGATTTGTATTTCCTTTAAAACTTTTGTATAACTCACTAACAGTTTATTTGTTTATTCCGCCAGGGTTCAGTACAATGGCGTTAACCCTGAAGTTTCAGTATATATTATGACACACAGATTTTCAATTATTCTATCAGAATAAACTCTTTTCAGACACTAGATGAGTTTTAATACAACATAAAAGTAGTTTATTTAATATTTCCATGTGGTCTGATAATTGTTTTGAAAGACAGTTCTTCGAAAAATGTTTCTATGTTTTCAGCGTCAGTATTAGTTCAAAGTTCCAGTATCTAGCTGTGATACTGGTTTGGTTCCGGTATAATCCTTTAGTAATACTGGAAGGATCTTTAGCAAAGAGGTATCATCAGCAGCTGAGCTCTCATATCATCCAACAACAGACTTGATTTAAACTAATACTTCATAATGTAAAACAGAGGTCACCAAACTTTTTTCTCTTGGGGCCACATTATCACTCCTGACTGTGATGGGGGCCGGGGTCGGGTCGGCTGTATAACAGAATTGTATGACCCTGATGATGCAGATTATATCCTTTGAAAACCGCCACATTTTCTTTACATATCAGACAAACTGCACGGTCCTTACACTCCGCAGCAACAAATACAAATGCAAAAAAAAAAAAAAAATGCAAACGGCACAACACACCAAAAAAAGCCACAATGGAATTGACCGCGGGACTCTATTTTCCAACAGACAAGCAAAACAATAAATTACTTTTACTTACGTTTCCAACTTCGTTCACTTCTCTGTTCCTTTACTTTTCATAATCTTGTTCTTCTTCAACTTTTCCCATTCACTTCCCGCTTGATCCTTTAATGCTTTGCTTGATCTGTTGGAAAATAGAGTCCCGCGGTCACTTCCATTGTGGCTTTTTTTGGTTTTCTGTGGCTTTTTGCTGTGTTGTGACATTTGCATTTGTGTTGTGGCATTTGTATTTGTTGCGGCGTTTGCATTAAATTAGAGTCCCGCGGTCACTCCCGTTTTAGCTTTTTTTGGTATGTTGTGGTATTTTTTGGTTTGTTGTGGCTTTTTGTTGTTTTGTCGCGTTTCTATTTGTTGTGGAGTTCGCATTTGTTATGAGCCCTCCCGGCTTCTGTAACTCTTCTCTCTGTCAACTTTTCGTACTTTAACACTGTAACACTGTCCTTAACTGCACTACAGTACTCTGCACGTGTGCTGAATGTCACTATTTGATCTCGAGCTTGTCAGATGATGAAAATTTGGCAGCAAATTTGGTGGCAAATGTAAATACGTCATATAATTATTTAAATATAAATACTTCATATAAATGTCATTTTTTACTTGAAAAAAATCAACAAAATCACAAGATGCAGATGTGTTATTATTTGCCAAAAATAATTAGAAAAAGTATTAAATACTAATTTTGGTCTCAGTTATCTGGGTATTTATACTTTGGACTATCCAACTGGAAAACCTCTTAAACCACTTAAAATATACTTGAGACTTGATGCTTTCTGATTTGAACTAATACTATGTCACCATAATGTAAAATGATTAAGATTTTTATTAGTAAACTTCACAACAACACATTTTTACACACAAACAAACAAATGTCAAACCAAACAGTGTACATACTAATTAGATTTTTACATGCCTCAGTTTAACATGCTTCATTCATTTGCTTGATGTTGTCTGTGAAGATAAAGTCGCTGTGGTGGAGGCTCAGTTTTCTTGTTCTGATTTGGTTTATTTGTCTTAAAAATCAAAAATCGTATCTTAAACTTGGCCCATTCTCCAAATGTCATGCCCAGGAGCTCTTTCAGGTCTTTTCTGTCTCCAAACACCAGCGCAGGCCCGTTCAGGTCGTTGGCTTTTACAATGTCAGTGTACTGAGAGGGGAAGTCCATCCGCTCCATCTGGAGGAGAAAGGGTGCATTTAAACACTGCTCACAAATAGAATAAGGGAGGAATTAAAAGGGAAAAAAATGAAAACACATGGTGTTTCCTATCATTAAGAAAAAGAATCACATTATGAAAAATGTATTTAAATAGTAGCATTTAAATAAATCTACTTCAATTACCATTTAAATGTAAGCATATAACATAATCATCAGAGCTAAAAATGTAGCCGCAACTAATTTTATATGCAAAACATTTTTCTAAATTATATACAGGGTTCCCAAGGTCATGGAAATCCTGGAAAAGTCATGGAAATTGGAAATGTCATTTTCCAGGCCTAGAAATGTTATAGAATTAATGTAAATTCAAAGAATGTTTTGGAACAGGCATGGAATTTTAGTATGTCATGCAACTACAGCGTTCTGTTAAGTTATAATTCAGCTATTATGATTATTTCCAAACATGTGCACCTTTTGTTTAAAAGAAATGACAATAAATGCACTGACAGTATTTTGAATATTAACAAACTACACCATAAGGTGAGTGGAAAGGGTTAACATTTTTATATTTAGCCCTAAAAGTATGCTCAATTATACACATGTAGAAGTCATGGAAAATTCACTTTAGGGCATGAAAAAGTCATGGAAATGTTTTGAAAGTCTGTCAGTGAAAAAGAGTGGGAACCCTGTATATAGTATAAATAACCCTAGTCTTGTTTGTCTCTAGGGAAATGTTATTGCATTGCCTGAAATGTTTCACTGTGTGGCATTTGGCTTGTCTATTTAAATTTCTTTTCTTGCAAAAATTTTAAGTTAAGATAAGATAAGAGATAAGTTGAATTTCATTCTGTGGAACACTGGTGGACAGTCCATTAGCAAAGTTGGGTAAAACTACCTGAAAATGATTGAAATGTGTGTTTTTTTTTTTTTTTTTTACAAAACCTCCACAGTGTGATCATTTGTTGTGATTTGAGATTACAAAAGTGCTTGCCCCTTACCTCTGCACACACATCTGCAGTTTTCATGTTAATAATCGTTGTGATCGGCAGCGGGGCCAGACTCCTCTTCCATCTCGTATCCCTCAGCGTTGAAGTGCCTCTGATTCTCGCCATTTCCTTTTTAATCGAATGGTCCAAGTTCACTGTTGCTTCCTCCAAAATCTCCAAATCTTTTATGGTGAACTGGAAATCCTCTTTGAGAAACATTTCGAACATTTCTGGATCTCTGTCTTGTTCCAGAAACTCTTCAATCTCTTCTCTCATAACATGTAATTCTGCTTTAGACTCTTCAAAAACCTGCCAAAGTGTTTTCAATTTGTTGATACTCGTGCACTCAATTTCTGCTCTTTGCTTGGCGTCCTCCACACACTGTATAATCCAACTTAGGCGGCACGGCCAGTGGTTTGCGACAACCACCCAAGCTGCAATATTTTCTGTCGACGATATGTCTTTTTGTAACGCTTTCATGATGATTACAACCATTCGAAAAGAGTTGATCACCCTCCGCATGGACATGGCGTCATCTAAAATGTACTTCTTCAAATTTGAATCAGTATTTTTCGCAATACTTTCGACCATCGTCTCAACTTCCTCTTCGTTAACTTCAAAACTAGATCTTGAAGTGATCAGAGGGTGCTTTTCGTTGTCCATTGAGACTTCCACTAAAGGAATATTCCCTGAGGATTTATTCTTAATATGGTTGTTTTTATCGCTGATATTCCCACTGCAAGCAAGGTTGTAGAATAAAGTACGTTTTGAGTACGCACACATTGGTGGGATAGTGAACGGTAGAGTTACAATTCGATTCAAAAGGGCATGCGCTTGGTCCTCTTTGATGAAACAATAATCTGAGAAATTCACTTTCTCAACTAGAATTTCAGGATTGACAGCTAGGATTGGAATAAATGGACTTTCTTCATCTGATAACAATATATTTATAGCGTCCAAAACCGCAACTATTTTCATCGGCGGGCAGCGATCTACGTTGGTTATTTGCAGCACTATCCGAATCCGACGTCTCTCAAAAACTTCCATGAACTGCACGAAACGGGTCAAAAACCAGATCTCTTTGCGCACCTCGTTCATGAAGCCAAGTTTGGAGCTAACTTTTTCGTTGTCCATGCCACGTTTGATGTTATGATCTTGGGAAAATATGAGGTTTTTGATGGTTGAAAGGACAAATCTTAAAGCAGTTGCAGCAGGGACCCCAAAAGAAGCGATGACTAGGCCCTCAATCATGTTAACTTGGCTTGTGGTGCCGTTGTTGACCATCTCGCTGGGGTTTGGGTCACGTGAGCCTAATGTCAGATAGAAGATGAGGAAGCCCAATGGGATGATCAGAATGAAAAGGGAACACAGCCAAAGAGGACAGCAGCAGCATTTTTTAGCTCTCCAGTCATTTGTAGAGTCTTCTATCTCCTGAAATACAAGAAAATGGTTTTAATATCTTCATAAAACCTGTTTAAGTGCTTCCTAAGGAGACACTTCAGGCGTAACTCATGTTTTGTTTGGTCTTTTAAGCTTTCATATGGAAACAATTTGCATGATGTTTTATAATTTCATCTACTTAAACTTTGAACTTAAACTTTTTTCTTACATTTTTAACATTTATGCAAGGAAACTACAAAAGAAGTTTTAACATGTAAGTTTTTCCATATTCACCTGCAAAGTTTTGTCTTATTAAAGCTTTTAAAGGTCCTATATTATGCAAAATTGACTCTTGTGAGATTTATGTCATGTTAGAATGTTGTTACCTCCTCAAAAACATACCTGGAGTTGTGTTTCGTTTCATTCATTTGAGTTTGAGTAACCCTTTTTTTATTATTCTTTTATACATCTCCAAAGCTTAAAATGATCTGTTCCACCTTGTGATGTCATGAAGCAGTAATTTTTAAGTTAACATCAGCTTTTTTGCTTTTGCTCACTAGAGATGGGCAAGTCCAGGTCTGAAATTATCCAAATGATTCTAGTGAAGGTGTATGGAGTTTAAAAACAAGCAAAGCACTTCCGGTATTACCACATGACATCACAAGGTGGAACAGCGTCTTTTCTGTTTGAGAGAAGAGCTGTTTTTGATGAGGAAACAACCTTATATCACGGATCAGAAAATGGTACAACATGGGCACTTAAATGTAAAACGTAAATCTTTTTTTTTACATAAATATTTCACTTAATTTTTGACCCTACAAACTTCAACTTGCTGAAGTCCTGATTCTTTCTGTCCTGGAAGAGAGGCGGCCGATCTGCACCAATGGCCCCTCCAAAAACCATTAATCAGTCACTCGCCACATTTATATGACAGCTAAAGTAGGTGAAGTGTCTTGCCCAAAGACACAGTAGTGATTTGCACTGGACTGAGAATGCCATTTAATAAGAGTATAGGAAGTACAATGTGGCTTAATAATAATTAATGATTAAACTCCCAGGTCAGTATGGAGTTAGACTTTGTTCCTTACCAACAAACCATAAAACAGTAATATTGATATGTTTCCTTTGTGTGAGAAAGCTGTTTATCAAAGGAAAAAGTTTGTATTCTAGTTTGTGTCACGGTCATTATTTTTGTTGAATAAATTACTATGTTTTCTGCACTAAATATACAGTCCCAAGTCTCACTTTGAAACAGGAAAAATAATGAGACACTGATCGAGGTTTTGATGTTGTGGCTAAAGAAGAAAGTAAAGTAGCTGTGAGAAACAAAACAAATAAATGAAAAAAAAGCTGAGTTTATGCCAAGTCTAGACTTTGTTGAAGCTGATATTTTTGGTTAGATTTGCTGATGGGCAAAACTAACTCCTGCCTGCTTGTTTGGCTCAGCAATAATGAGTCAAATCAAAAACGCAGTGGCTGGTTCTGGTTTGTTTGACCATACTAAAAGCAGCCGAGCTCAAAATATTTAAATATTTTTTATTCACCATTGTTTTTGGATTTATTGCAATGCAGAATTTGCCAAATTGGTGAATATAATGTTAGCAAAGGAGAAATTAAATTCTGTCGACTGTCCAAAGGTTTTTTGATTGAGTATGTTTCACAGTTCATCCAAGCTGCTTCTTCAGTTCTGGTCAGATGGACACTGCCTTATATCTGTCTGAAGGGAGAAAACATATTCAATCAAAAACTTTTGTCCAGTTGACAGAACTGAATTTCTCCTTTGCTATAGATCCTACCTCGACCTATCTATCATGTTAGGTTTGTATAACCAACATCAGAGAAACATTATTGATCCTTTTTTGGAGTATAGGGTCGGGGACATCACAATCACGGTAATTCTAATTCTCCTGCTTTGTACACTACAAAATTTACGAATTTCCTTCGGGATAATAAAGAATCTATCTGAAATTACCAATTCATAATATGACACTACTAGACATTTAAAGGCTATATTTCTATAACATTTTCAGTTTTTTATTTTATCTCTTTTTTTTAATATGTTCTGGGACTAGGTCATTTTACATAATGGAAGAATCATCAACTAACCCTTTTCTTGACTTCATCCTCTTCATCGTACTGAGCCACTCGGTGCAACACGAGCTGTAGTTTCCCGAAGTGCACCTGCATGGCGTAGAAGAGCCGCAGCGCCATTCCCGCCCACAAGAGGTCGCTGCCCGCAAAGTGCCAGGCGCTGAAGTGCACGTGGACAAACCTGACGTTGCGGTGGTTCTGGTTGTGTTGGGTCCAGATGGGTTTGTAGAAGAGCAGTTTCCACATGAGCGACACGCACGCGCAGAGGGAGGGCCGCGTGGAGCGAGGCGCGGGTGCGTCTGCGCGCTCCTGCTCCACGAGCTGCGCCTCTGAGCTCAGGTGCGCTGCAGGAGAGGAAACAAGGTAAGAAAAAGTGTCTGGACAAGTCAGAAAGTAAGCTTATTCTCATTGTATTGAATTGAAGTCATTTGTATTATTGTGTCTTATATCCTCTGCTCAGCTCTAGACAAAAGTTCAGTTGGCCAGTTTCCAGATAAAGATAAATACATATTTGTTTACAAATACAAATGAACAATGATGGAAGAAGTAGGTCAGTTTTGATACTTAAGTAAAAGTAGAGGTACATAAGCAAAAGAATACTGAAGTTAAAGTATCACATAAAAAAAGTTAGGTAAAAGTATTAAAGCAGCTGTTTAAAAGTTTACTTAATGAGTAAAAAGTAAAAAAAGAAAAAAGTTTGAGTTATATTATTTGAATATAATAACAGTTTTTTAATAGGCCTGCAGATTTACACTGAATTTTCATTTAACAGAAACAACTGGATTCTTTTTTTTCCTAGCTGTTTTTATTTTATTGTATAATTTTGTTTGCTCAAATTATCAACATGTTAAAAGTAAACCCCTCAGCCTTTTCAGCAGGTCTCATGCAATAATAATAATAATTTAAAACATAAATAATTTTCAGTCCTGTTCAAAAATGTATTGAACTTAATGTAAAAAGTATCCAATTTAAAATGTACTTCATTAAAGTGCAGATACTTAAAATGTAAACTTAAGCACAGTCCTTTACTACTTTTACTTCATTACATTCCACCACCGCAAATGAACTCATTTACAAACAAGTCTGCTGCCTCTTCCAAGCTTTACATGAATAAATGAAGCCAATGAATAAACATTAGAATTAAGCGACCATTTCTTCCCTCTCTTGTCTTTACTCCAGAATGTATCAGGACTTTGGGGGAACATTACTGCAAATAAATTATTTCTAAATTCATTACAGAAAGGACAATACTTTCGAACATACGATGAGCTTCTCTTTCTGCCTCTTCCAGCTCAAACCAACCACACATTGTATCTTTTGAATTGAATATTAGGCAACAGATTTGATCATCTTTCATTTTTGCCTTATAAGATTCTTTACGCATATTGGCAGATTTTCTTTTTGGCCTTATGTAAACCTTGCCTATTTGTAGAAACGAGTGCATAATTAAGGAAAATTGTTATGACTCATTCTCATACCTTGTTGTGAATCATTATATAACCAGAGAAACTTGAGAGAGCGCAGTTGAGTACATTGGTAATTTTCGAGCATGTTTTTAAACAAATGAAAATATATTCCCCTCTCTGCTGTTAGCGGGTATCAAATTGGTCAAAAATAGGGACAGCTTGGACATTTCTTGTCTAAAACTGGGACAAATCACTGGTTTTGTATAAATCTGCTGGGACAGGGGACACAAAACTCAAAACTGGGACTGTCCCGGGTAAATAGGGACATCTGGTCACATGCTGTCGCCATGGATGTATTTGGAAAAACAATCTCCCACTCATTAAACTATTTACTTACTCTTTATTTACAGAATCGATCCTAAATTTGATTCACAGCGCATGTAATACTTTGTCAGGACTAAAATCTGAGACTGAATTTATGAAATGTAGGGCCTTAAATGGGGGTATGGGTTCTGGCGGGTTAAAAAAAAAACAAAAAACTTGAAGTGCCCATGACTAACCAGGCTGGCGCTACCTAATGCCTCCGCTCAATTTAATTTCTCTCCAGCGACTAGGTCAGGAATCGGAATACACTAGACAGTTTCCAAGAATCCCAGAGGTTGTAGACCACGCACCGGTCAATCAGCGAAGAGCTGTGAAGCCATAATGTGAAACTCAAGCTCCTGTCTGGGTTCCTTTTTATGGTACAGCACAACAGTAAACAAAGTGGTCGAGATGGATGTACACGAAGCCATACATTCTGTGTTGGCAAAGATTCCCGAGATCGAGGATTTAAAGCTGGAACAAAGGGAATGTTTGGTGAATTTTATCAAGGGGGAAGACGTTATTGCCCTTTTCTTAAGGGATTTGGGAAAAGCTTAATATACCCCTTTAGCAGCACATTACGTCACGACCAAATAGCCGCGACTGGCTAAATAAAAAAGGACCCGCCTACCATCGAGCTAACAAATTCTAATGCTGCGAGGTCAGACCAGCATTAGAATTCAGAATCAGGCTAGCCCATGACAGGTTTCACCACAAATTTGACTAAAACACAGTTATATTTAAGATTTTTGCAAAAATATTCATACTCACTGTCCCATTTTAGACATTTTTTTAGCCTTAAAGCTTGGTTAGAAATTATGACATCACACTAGGGATTTCCATTGTTACCTCCAGATCTCCTCTAATGTAAAATTAAAAATTATCTGACAAATACAGATATAAGAAAAAAATCGTTCTTAACATGAAAATTGTGCTAAACTTTGGACAGAATTCTCCCTAGTGTGATAGCATCAGTATGTTTAGAACTTGCTACTTCCTGTGATTTTCAATATATTTTTCAACTTTTCTTCACAAATTGTTTCTTGATTGATGTAAAACTAGAATTTTTATTTACAATAGATATTACCCCGCCAAATTTAGTCAAAAATAGAGAATCATGAAAATTGGTCATACACTCTTTGCACTTTCATCTATCAGTTTCTCTTTGCTTAATGCACTTATTTTTTATAGTTTACGAAAGACCGAAAAGAGTTTAGATTCTGCATTATTTTGAAGAGTTCTTGAGCTTAGTTGTTCCTTTAGAGAGGAGTGCAGTCTTTGAGTACAACATGACCGTGACCGTGTAAAAGTTTGTTGAAAAGAACCGAATAAAGGCCTGTATTACCATATAGACCTGTGTTTACAAACTTCTTACCTTCCATCTGTTTGAGCACAAGGCTGATACGGTCCTGACATGTTGAATACAGCCCCACTGTAGCCGGAGCTCTCACTTTACTCAGGGTCTTGGACAGGGCGTACGCATAAACTTCGTCTGGAACAACATTATATTTATGTTATAGTCCTATAACATTGTATTTTAAACATTTATGTGACTCACTAACAGTATTATTTGTTTATTCCACCAGGGCTCTGTACAATAGTGATAACCCTGAAGCTATACATTATGAGAAGCATTAGCTGATAAGATTTTCAAAACTATATTCGCACAAATGGAAATTGGTGACCTTCTAAATCTGATATGAAAACTTGCTCAGTGATCACCTATTTTAAGCATGCAGACAGGGATTCTGAAAAAGCCTTGAAAATACCTGACAGTATTTGAAATGGGAAAAATAACACTGGTTGTATTGAGGTCTTTGATGTTGTGGCTGAAGTAAAGTAGTTAGAAGTTATGAATTTGATATTTTGAGTTGGACTTTTGGACACTGTTTAGTTTGGTCCTCAACATAACTGCGTTTTTTGTTTAGCTAAGCAATAACAAGCATGTGTTTACTTCAGTACGTGTAGATTAGAAACTATTTTCACATGGAACTTTATGCTTTTCTGAAAAAACTAGGAGCCATTGTTTAAATAAGTGAATTATTTTTAAAGGGCCCATATTACGCTTTTTTCTGTTCTATGTTTTATTAACATTCCTCATCACAAACATGCCTGGAGTTGTGTTGTTTCATTCACACATGTTTAACACACAAATCCTGCATATTTTTTTTCTGATTCCTTCTCTCAAATAGAAGACACTCTACACCTTCAGTAGAATCATTTGGATGATTTCAGAATTGCTGATCTCTACTGAACAAAAGGTAGCTGTCGCCTTGTAAAGTTCAATGTTCAAAGTTCAAAAAAGTTTATTGTCAATTCTTCATACGAAAAATATATATAAAGAATCGAAATTGTGTTTCTCACTCCCATGCGTATAAATAAATAATAAATATTAGGGATGTAACAATAACCGAAATATCGCGATATTGTATCGTCAAAGTTCTCACAATAATATCGTGGACCATCACAATATATCAAATTACAAGTCTCTTTGCTTAAATGAAGAGTTATGGTGCAGCAACAGCTAAAAAAAGACAGGGGGAACTGCATCGACCATGATCCTTTGCTCCATTTCAGTGTAGACTACAAGAACAAATAACAGTTCTAAGCACTTTTAAGTCTTGGTTCTCTGGATTAAGTCTTGTCAAAGCATTTTAAGAGGAAAAAGTAACATATTAACAGTTTTGGTAGTCTTCACAAAATATCACAATAAATATCGTACTGTGAGATGTATATCATGAAAATATCGTACCGAGAGAATTGAATATTGTTACATCGCTAATCATGAGCCTCCCCACCATATCATGATCTTTCCCACGATATCATAATAAATATCGTACCGTGAGATTCAAACCGTGACGACATCGTATCGTGAGACTTGGATATTGGTACACCCCTAATAAATAATAAACGTAAATAGTGCAAAACTGCAAAAGGCATATATAGTGCAACTTCATGACATCACATGGTGGAACAGAGCATTTTGAGCTTTGGAGGTGTAGACAGAGTAATAATACAGGATTACTCAAATGTGTGTGAAGAAAGAAAACATAAGTACAGGTGTGTTTTTGCGGAGATAACAACATTTAACTTGGCTAAAAGCTCACAAGAGTACATTTTGCATAATATAAGACCTTTTTGTTCTGTTCTATGTAGTTGTATTTAGTACTTTAACACTAAACATCTGTATTTGTCCTGCAATTCCTTCCAGAGTATAAATAACCACAGCAATATGCATGTGTTTGAGTATCGTTTGACAGATCTAGGGAAAACAGGGAGGTCGATAATTACAATATTACCTCTAACTACAGACAGCAGCAGTCTGGTTTATGGTCTCATGTGGACACAGTAATGAGCAATGAGATATACATTTAATTAACTGGCAAAACTACGCATTATTTCAAATACATGGACAAAGAATCTTGAGTGTCCCAGATGCTTATGTGATGGGTGCTATATTTTATGTTTAAAAACATTTAGAAAATATGTGAAAGCTGTTGCCTTACCCTTGGTCTGATGGTACATTTTGAGAGTTAAGTTGGTTTTTCAGCTGTCACATTTTCTTTGAGCTGTTGAAAGAAGAGAAAGAAGGCTACTATACACTCTTAAAGGTGTAACATGTAACTTTAAACTGTAAAATCTGCATATCTTCATGGGAAATGTTATTGGCTAGAGTGTTCCATAATAAGACATTAAACTTATCTAACTCCATGGAGACAAGCAGGTAACTTCACCAACCCAAGTTAGAGGCCAGATCTGTGGAGAGGCAACCCCGCCAACAGTAACAATCTTTAGCAATAGAAAAATGTAGTAAGATAATGCCATACTGTGAAACCTTCCAAACAGCTGTGTTGTGTTTCATTTACATTTGTTTGAGTAATCCTGTCTGTGTATATCTTGAAAGCTCAAAATGTTCTGTTCCACCTTGTGATGTCATTAAGAGGTAGTTTGTAAGTTAACACCTACTTTTTGTTTAGTAGAAATTGGCAATTTGATGGATAAATTCACCCAAATAATTCTAGTTAAGGTGCACCGCAAAAAATAAAATCTAGCCAAGTTAAGATGACTTGAATTCAGAAAGTTTGATCATAATTTGAGTAATTTCACTTGACAAGTAAAATTATCTGCCAGTGGAACAAGAATTTTTGTACTTAAAAAATGAAAACACAACTTGCTTCACTTCAAATAAGAAAAACAACAACTTTTTGCCCTTAACAAACCAAATCAAATGATGCAAAAACACACTTATTCCTTTGGCAGATGATTCTACTTGTCAAGTTAAATCTCCTCAAATAAAGTCAAATGTTCTTAATATATTTCATTTTATTTTAACTAGATATTGTTTTTTTTACAGTGTGTATGGAATTTGAAAAAGTGGAGCACTTCCTGTGTTATCACATGACATCACAAGGTGGAACAGAGTGTTTTCAGTTTGAGAGAAGGACTCAGCCTAAATATGCAGAGTTTATGTGTTAAACATGTGTCAGTGAAACAAACCACAACTCTGGGTGTGTTTTTGTGATGAGAAAACAACATTATAGATCAGAAAATGGCCCTTTAAGAACATAGAGTATTATTATAATGTGAGGGTGTGTTGACATTGGACATACTGTTCTGTAGCTGTCATAGCGCCCGGGACTTGTTTATTAAATATGTAACTTATTACTTAAACACAAGGGGATAACTTATTATAACCCACTAAAGTATGTAAACATTTAAAATCAATACTTTAACATATAGGATACAATGGACGACCCCATGTCCCTTCATTCCTCAGTTTTCATACAAGCCCAGGCAAAACGAGGCAGAGTTTGACCTGTTAACTGAACATAAATTATGAAGAATGTCTCTATACTATTTGTGTCTCTGTTTGAGAAGGCGCAAACCACTGAAAACACTAAGAATAGACCTGAAAGAAAATTAAACCTGTTTCAAATATCTTATACATTGGCTCTATTTGCCTCAGACTAATCACTAACACTTTTATTTCTGATTGTAGCGAACCATTCAGTGAATCAATCACTACTTAGCAAAAAGTGCCACTGAAAAAAAATCATCCAAGACTTGCAAAAAAATCAAATGCATTTGACTGCTATCAAACTATTATTATATCCCTCCTTGATAAAATCCACTATACATTATATTGATTGATACCTGCAGAAAATGGTAACAAAAAGAAAAATACTTTTATGCAATTTTTCAAAATGGAGATATCTGCAAATGCACTCTTCATTTATACATTTTATGATTTGCTATTTTTTTACAGTTTTCTTACCATTTGATTCACTCTTTGGTAACTCTTTATATTAAAATATAAGAGCTGTGTCTAAATAATGTCCCTGGTTTAGCAATAAAGTTGGTCAGTCTTAATCTAAATTACAGATGTAGATTTACGTGTGTGAACTGCTTCACAGATTACGTGATGATGTTGCAATCTCAAAATTGACTCTTGTGAGCTTTAAGCCACGTTATAATGCTGTTACCTCATCAAAAAATGTACTTGGAATTGTGTTTTGTTTCATTCACACGTTTTGAGTAATCCTTTATTATTACTCTGTCTACATTTCCAACGCTCAACATGCTCTGCTCCACCTTGATGTCATGAAGCGGTCGTTTTCAAGTTAACAGCTACATTTTATCTTTAGTACAGGAGAGATGGAAATTGTCCAAATGATTCTAGTGAATGTGTATAGAGTTTAAAAACACAGTGGAGCACTTCCTGTATTACCACATGACATCACAAGGTGGAACAGAGTGTTTTCTGTTTGAACTCATATTAAATATGCCAGTTTATGTGTTTAAACGTGTGTGAATGAAACAAAACACAACACCAGGTCTGTTTTGGATCAGGAAACAACATAGATCAGAAAATGTTGTAATATGGCCCTTTAAGCCAGATTCAAAACCGTTTAAAACAAATGTAAAGACTAGTTTGTCCCTGAAGTCCGCCCAGTCCCAACAACACTAGCACATCTATTTTAATGTCCCTTTAAGGCCCTCCTTGTGGTATCATAAAAATTTACTTCCGTTTTATTATTTGTTTATCTATAAACCTGTGGAGTTTGGATGACGCTAAACTAACACACACTGTTATATGACAATTACAGTATTCTTCTTTTTAAACATTTCAAGTATGTGTTAAAAACCTTGAGAACGCTTTTGTGCACACAGACATGTCAACAATTTTCTTAATTTAAAATGCCTTAAATATATAGACCATTTATTTCTGTTAGCAACAAGTAGAATCAAAAGTAAAGTTTGTGACCTTAAAAATTTACACAAAGTTCTTTAAGTTGTATCCTTCATCTCAAAATGCAGTATTCATTCATCATTATTTCAAAGCACACTGCGTAACATTTCTGGTTGAGGGTGCGCCACCTGCTTGTCTCCGAGGAGGTGCTATTACTTTGCCTTGAATGTTCCACGGTATGGCTTTAAATTACACACAAACAGATGGCACCACAAAGCACAAAGTTACCAGTCAAGAATAAACACTATGGTTGTTCTTATTGCCATACTGTGGGACATTCTAGGCAAGAAATTAGTCACACTGTAGTATTAACTTTAGTAAAAGTTGTGACGGAGTATTAATTGAAAAAAGTAGAAGCAATAATTAGACCTGTCATGATAACACATTTTGAAATTTGATATATTGCTGAAGTAAATATAGACAATAAAGGATAATGTTGAAACTAAATCATAAAGCAGAATTATTCACAAAAACATTTTACTGTAATTGCACAAAATTGTTAAAAACCATGAGGTGCAAAAATAAGTAAGACTGCAAGACTGCACCATGTAACGTTTTGGGGGGTTTGTCACCTGCTTGTTTCTATGGAGATGTCATTGCTCTGCCTGGAATGTTCCACAGTATGACATTAAACTGCTCTTCTTTACATTTATTAAATTACAGGTGGTTTTATAGGTAAAAAATACCTTGAAAAAGAGGTATTCTGACTGAGTGGGGTTGCCTCTCCTCAGATTTGACCTGTAACTTGGTCTGGTTTGGTCTCCATGAAGACAGAAATGTTAAATGCCATACTGTGAAACATTCCAGATGATGGAGAAAAGCATTTGACGGACTCTCCACCAGTAAAATTACACAGTACACCTTTAAGTACTTACCTTGTCTCTATAATGAGTCATAAAAGTTCATAATTCAACCTCCTTCAGCTCAAATCTCATCGTAGTACAGAAAAATAACTAAAATGTTCCCACTAGCACAAAGAAAGTACCACAATAAACACTGAGTCCCAAAACATATTGTTCCATCTGTCATGTACTGAAGTCGATATAGTAATTACCGTGACAGGCCTAGTAGTCGTAAGATTAATAATAGTAAGCGTAGTTGTCTTACCTGTTGAAGTGCGGTGTGTGCATTGGGGCTCATTCATTTTGACAGCAGCGAGGCGTGGTGAACTTTACTCTGTCTAAACTAAAGAGTCGTAAAACTATACAGATAAGGAGAGAGAGAGAGGGAAAAGGGGGGGTGGAGACAGGGGGGTAGAGAAAGACGGATAAGAAGAACGTGAGAGTGACCTGTGCACACCGGCATATATGAAACAGGAAGTGATGATGTCACCGTTTTTCTTGAAAAGCGTCTTGTCACCGGCCGGACTGACTGGGCTTAATCTGGGTCAGTGTTGTTTATGAAAATGTCAAACTCAAGTCCAATACTGATGAAAATACTCAATACCAATTTTGATTAGATCTTTACCATTACCATTTTTCAATATTGAGACTAGATCAATTTTATCTAGTTTTGAGATAGTTTTAGTATTGATTCATATCTCAGGAGAAGTTTCTTGACATCATTAATCTGGAAATACCTGAAATGTTAAACCTTGCAGCTGCATTATGTAATAAAACTGAATTATGTAATCATAATGTGAAGAAGGTCTCTTTATTATGTAATAAAAACATATTTTGCAGTACTTTGCAACTTTATGTAATAATCCACAGTTACATTTTGAGACAAATGAATGAAATGTGAGTGTTAAACCTTACTTACCATAATATTATGCAATAACAGAGAAAATATCTTGTACTTTACTAAAGTGAACAGTATAGTGTGTAATTGAACAGTATAGCGCAGTGTTTCCCAAAGTTTTTTTTTTCTGGGGGCCCATATTTTAAAACTCACAAACCTTTCCGACCCAAGTCAATAGACATTATTGGTAAATCTCAAAATAAATGTGGATTTGACCATTATTGTACAATAATGAGGATATTTTACTGTTGACTGAGTGATCGTGTCTCTCTGAAGAATTAGTATTACTCAAGTTTTAAACAATGATAAACAGTGATTGACCCAGCAATAAAAGGATCCATAAGTCGCCTATCTGGACATTAAATATAGCCCCTTTCTTTTTCTTTTCAACATTCAATTGGAATATTGGAACAAAATAGTCACTAGCACTGTGTCAGAACTGTATGTTGCAGACCTACATTGCGACTCATCTGAGGGTCGCAACCCAGTTTTGGGAAACAGTGTTACAGCATAACAGTAATGGCATAATAACATGATAAAGCAGCCCTCTTTATATTGTTTCCAAGAAAACATTTGAAAACCATTTG